ACACAAACTCAGACACAAGCGTGGTCCATCCGGCCGCAGCTGATGTTCCCCAGAACCGGAACCTCACGGGGGACCTTCTTATTCTGAAAACGCCCGCGTGTTATGGGCGGGAAGGCGCGGTGATAACAAGTGCCGAGTACAAGTGAGGTTACTGTTTTGGAATATCGATGGTGAGTAGAGCATGTTCTTCTTCCCATCTTCTATCTGTCCATCTATTGATAGATATCACGATATTATTATTATAGTGGGAATCGAGGGTAAACTTATGATATGGTCCAACATGGCCCTATGAAGGGGCACCCACCGTGAATCGGCAGAACCTCCCCGACTTGATCGACAGTATGATACCACAGTTTTAAAGCTCATCACCAAGCAATCCGAATCTAAGCCCCATCATATCCACCAAGGAAAAATAACTCAATGGAACCCTAACTCACTTGACCACGGGAAAAAGAAAACACCACGAAACCGTCAAGCTAAGCTTCCTCAACGTAACAGGGGAAATGACCAAACGAACAGATCCATGATCACGATCACCTGTTATTATATAATAAAAATTTCCCTCCTCCCCATTCAATCTCTGTAGGAGTAAAGCTGGGGCTGATAATGGGGTAAAAAAAGGGGGAGACCATTGATATTCAACGTCCCTAAGAGAGCGGAAAAGGGATTCACGGTAAGATACGCATCTGGAGGCACTAGGGCGCCCTTGGTGTTTCATCTGAGACCAGAGATGGATACGCGATGGGGAGCGACAGACAAGTAGATCAGGGAGCCGCTGAGATTGGCCATGTTGGGGTAAAGGGGATTGGAAATAAGTTCTCCCAAAGATTCGAGATTCAAAACTCGCAAGTTGTAGGCACTGCCTCTGGTGCCGTCCTCAAAGATTCAGTCACAGCCAAGCAATTAAACATCGTTGATGGTCAGTTTATACAATTGGTTGGCATCAGCGGTACTCCCTCTAGTGAATGCTACCCCCCGCACCAACTCCTCCTTCACCACACTGCTAGTCGCGTGGGCTACAATCACCGATATCTACGGTATGTCTCAGACTTCCCTTATGAGTAATTCGGGTTGGATGAATGAATGGTACTGATTTTGCCCTCTTAGAACCATTCCTACGGCGGAGCCACTCCAGATGTTTAATGGGTCTAATGAAACATTTGACGTCAGTATTCCAATACTGATTGCAGGAACTCACCACACATGACCGCCCTCAGGCTACGACCGCTCAATACTAACTTTCCTTAGATTGCTAGGCGCAAATGCCCCGCGATAATTCCACCGGCCGCATGGTGTCGGATTTTAAAAAGTTCCCCGATGGAATCAAAGGCACTGCGGATAAAATTCGTGCCATGTGCCTCAAGCCCGGTATCCACTCTAATGCTAGAGGTGCCACATGCACTGGACTCCCTTCGATCGGCCACAGAGAGGTCGACATGAAAACCTGGAGTGGGTGGGGAGTTGGATGTCAGTGCTCTGCCATCTCTAATCTGGTATGGAAACCCGAATACTAGACTTGAAATACTGCAACTGCGCTGTCCCTGATCACAGTGCGTACGAGTGCCAACACTGGCTAGAGCACTGACACCGGTACCAAGGTTCGGGGAAACAAGACTGATGGGTTAGTGGACTCTTCTCAGTGTACAACGATTTTGCTACTTTTTTTGGCGCTATCCCCGTGCCGAGGCATTAATATACGACTAGCCCAGTCGAGTTCTACCAAGCGATGCAGCCTCATGAGAAATGTGTCGCGCAAGCATAACAACACTATCTCCATCTGCAATTGGTGTATGGTTTGGTCATGTCTGTATCCAATCGTTTATTGGCCGGGTGTACAGTACTGGCAAACTGCAGATCATCCTCACGCCCAGAGACGGGGTAATTATACTGGCCAGAACCGGATAACATACTCGGGTAGGGTGAAATCGCCCCGAATTGGGCTGGTCGGGATAGGTGGTTGTGGGGTAAACGCATTCGCTGGTATCCAATGCTCTTGAGTACCAGTATCTGTATGTAACATGTGACAAAGTGCCATTCACCAACCACGGGATCTTCCATGAGTATAACAATTTCCTCGTAAGTCTTTCTCCCTCGACAAAGCTGCTGGTTCCTCGTGATACAATGATGGGGCCACAATGACCTCGGCATGTCGGAATTTTGGAAACGGAAACCTAATTGGTGTCTGTTTCCCCAAGTATCTTCAATCCCCAAACAACCCTAACCCCGCGCAGGGGAAACCCGCACCCGCTCCGGTCCCACGACTGCCCCTAGGCCACCGCCGCCGCCGGTATGATACGGTATGATACTCCGGTAAGCGCGCGTTGATGGTTAAACGCCAGCAGAAGCATTACTAACATCCGAGACAGCTCAATGTTATCTCTGGAGAAAAGCTCGGAGAGAGACTACTTCAGAACTAGGAAATCCCCGCCTTCAACTAAAACGACGTCTGGGGCGCGCCCGCTCTCCCCCCCTTCCCAACCTTCCTATGATATCATACTCGCACCTATCTAACACTATGAATATTATAACCTACTCTCAGGTGTCAGCCCTAGCTTGACCTAGGACCGAGCACACCCTGCATAACTCGGGTGGATCCAAGCGCAGAATCTAGGCATCCTCATAGACACTCTCGACAATATGGCCAAAACCGCCGACTCTGGCCAAGCCCCTGGATTGGACCCCAAGGAGTACACAGTCAACGGCATGCGGGCTCACAAGAATCTCGGAAAGCGCAATCAGCTGTACAAGTTCTACTAGCTCAAGGCCCACTCAGCGGCTCTTGAGAAAGCCTGATGCTACTGTTGGTCCGAGAATTGGGTACCGATCGTTGCCGGCGGGGGCCACCTTATCGGTCATGGTGGCCCTGCACAGTATTGAATTGTAATGTAGCCCAACTCCCTTGTAACCTGCAAGATAGATACTTTTTATCACACAAAAACGAAGTCTCACCTCGTATCATAACGTTAACATCTCACCACTTTTTCCTTTTCCTCACCCGCTTCTTTGAATGGTGAACAGTGAATGCGATCTACCTTGGCCCACCTAGGTTCTCTCCACAAACCGGTAAATTACCGGTATTGCGCCCTTCCATTTTTCCCCATCCTTCGAAACCAAGCGCAATCCAAGCGGGCAAGCCACAAATTAACTTTCTTTGGCGCCCCAAGATCACCCAACTTTGAATGACGAATCCCCCGAACAACAACACCCATCCCAAAATATAAAGCTATTAAATGACGGATTAGGAGTTGGAGAATAAGGTAATAGAAACCAGTTTGATAAATATGAAGTTTTGATTGAGCCAATGCAGTTCGAAAAAGAAAGGGGAAAAAGAGCAGTTAATGTGTTTACAGTTAATGCAAGGCCATTACCTCGAGCCGCCCACCTATTAATCAGTTACCTGGAGAGAGTTAGCCCAAATCAACAAGCCGGGTATGATACGATAATACCGTCAGCAAGCCAAGATAAATGTCGCCGTGCTCCGGTCTAAAGGCAAAAAAGTCCAAAAGGAAAATCATAATAATATTATTATCATCATAGAGATCAAAAATCAACAAACACACACAATCGGACCCGAACCCTGATCCTTGGTTTTTTTTTTTTTTTTTTTTTTTTCCTTCCCGTTCCTCCCCCGCTACTGTACGAGTACTCGTAGTAGAGACTCGATCCACTCTTCACACCATGATTAATCGACGCACACCTAGTTGTTGTTGCTTTTTGCTTTTTGCAATAGATCTCTATCGTAGATAGGTTGGTGATCACTCATCATACAAAGTACCCAGCACAGTACTGTACTCGTACAGTACTTGTACTCGGGCATACCTACTCGTATTGCACAAGGGTCAGGAATAATAAGCACAACGCTATTGTCCCTAGAAATAGTTGGTCGTCACCGGGAGCCGCTAACTTACCTCGATGGGGTTCCCATTTCCTCTTTCCGCCTCGGTCCACGGGTTATCTTTTGAGATATCCATCTAAATTATGATGATCCCTTTTCCACGCCCTTGTTCGGACAAACCGGTTGCGGCCGCACCATTATCCAACGTCCCCCCACTTTTCCATGCTTGACCCTTGCACTTTATTACTCGTACTCACTCACTCAACTCACTCACTCACTTTACCTATTATACCACCCTGTACTGCACAGTAACCGGTAGGAAGAAACTTGAAAGTTGTACTTGTACTCGTAGTCCGGTACACTGCCCGTGCGTGCTCGAGTACGTACTGTACTTTCTATCTATTATATCTTTCTAACTATCCAGCGATACGTAAAGTACGCGTGGAGAAGCGGGAATTCCCATTGTCGATCTTATAGCTTTTCTTCTGCGAGTACGGTAGTTTGTTTACGGTCCCCGCACTTGTGCAGAATTCGTACTTGTAAGGGTGCGAAAGTTACTTTAGCAATTATTCGACAAGTTGGATTAATGGCGCTGTACTGTACTGTACTACTAGTACTGTACTGTACTCGTACAAGTTACTCGAGTGCAAGGTATCAAGGCTGAGTAAAACCCCTCTACCACTCAGGGAATGGGATCCTCTCCTGTCAGTCATTGGGCGAGAGAGTTCGACGGACTTTCTTCTCCTCTCCTTCACCAAGTTTTTTTTTTTTAACGTGATGTGGAAAAGACCGTTGAGCAACATGGTCATTTGGACGAAACGAGTTAAAGATCAACGAACCTCTTTTTTTTTCTTTTTTTTTTCTTCTTTTTTCTTCTTCTTAAGGCGGAACTTTGGCTCACACCCTAAATGCAGTAACTGCTCGTACAATAGACCATTCATCCCGCCATGCAGTCGATCGAGGCGATTCTTCTGATAGGTTGTGCAAGTGGGGATGGCTGTACGGTACGGTGCCCATTCAACGAAAAATGTACTGTACTCGTACTGTATGGTACAGTACAGTACTCGAGTAGGTACGGACGTGAGTTAAAGGTACCAACTTCCGTAATTTGGAAAAAGGGAGGTGCAAAGTGCGAATGCAAGTAAGTATATTATGTGCAAAAAAGTGAATTGGTACAGTTGTTTATTTGTTGCACGAGGTTAGGCTACATAAGTCACCCCACACGACGGCATTATGGTTACGCCCGCCATTGCAGGTTTTACAAAAAAAAAAAAAAACATTATTTCCCTTGACCCGTAATCATGTCCGCTGACGATTTAAAAAATTGAAAAATTGAAAAATTGAAAAATGAAAAATGAGAATTAATGAAAGGAAGAAGAAGAAGAAACGCCAATCAAATTTTTTATGTTCAGGTTTGTTTGTTGTTTGTTACAATTCAGGTCCGGTACCAGTTATCCTTTGCGTCACCAAAGCATTCGCCAACAGTAACCCCTAAAAAATTGTCAGTCCGTATCCCATGGGCAGATTGCTCAACGGTGGGCGGGCCGCAATGGTGGGGGGAAAGGCATACCTCTATAGCCATTCTTCTTGATGGTCTCCAGCATAAACCTGGTCAAGCTCCGAGCGGTCTGCTCGTGGATATCGTGGGCGATGGCCAAAAATTTATTCTGAGCGGGACTCGTCCCATCGATCGCCCTGGCAAAGTTGTTCTTGGCGACCTGGATGGTTGCTGGGGTGTCGTTGTTGTAATCGTCGGTGTCAACATCAAAGTAGATGATGTGATAACCCAGGTCGTCCATCGTACGCGTGCAGCCGGAATCGGCGGTGCAGGAGGAGTACGGAGGGCGCATGTATGTTGGGTACTTTCCGATGATGTTCTTGATCGCCGCCTCATTCTTGAGCATCTCGTCCCTCCGCTCGGCTTCACTGATTTTCGAGAGGTCTTGGTGGGTCCAACTGTAGGATTGTTATTATCATTATTCTGCTAGATTGGTTCGAAGGGTGGTCGAAGGAGAAGAAGAAGAAGAAGAAGAAGAAGACTTACGTATGAGAGGCAATCTGGTGGCCTTCGCTCTCCATGCGCCGGATCACACCGGCCCATGGCTGGGATGCGCTGTCGATGGCACCTTTGCCAATGTTGTTTCCGCTTATATATTAATCAGTTTGTGAGCGGATATGATAGATCATGGAAACTCACGTAACGAAAAACGTAGCCTTGACATCGAACTCCTTGAGCAAATCCAACACCTCATTGGTATATATATACGGGCCATCATCATAGGTCACGGCAACTGTCCCGGGCACAGTGCAGCGGTAAATGTCCGCCCCATAAGGAATACTCCCCAGCTTGCTTCGTCCCTGCCTATTAAAGAGACCATATGGAGAAGCAATTGTCGCTGGGAGCAACGCCAGCAACGCCGACGCAACGGAAACCTTTTGGAAATGCATAGCGAGCGTGTATATTTCTTCTCTCTCCAACGAGGGGAAGCTTTAGAAAGATGGATAAACGGAGATTGAAAGACGCAAGAGTAGTGGACTCGATCTAACGAAAAGGCAGGAATGGGACTGGATACTCCACTCTGGATGAGGGGATCCCGCGGGCCTAAATACTTGCTCTCTGCTACCCTTGAAACCCATGTCCCACGAGGCCAGGAACGAGGGAACCAAGTCATCGAATCAGGTCTACGGTTACAAGAAAAAAACCTCAATCTGGACCATTAATCTCAACACGCATGAGCGGGATGGTCTAGGTTCCAAGTACTGTACGAGTACTCGTAGACAATACAATAACCCTTGTTTCGCAGATCCTATAAACCCCGCCGAATTGGAATAGCCCGCTTCAGCTACCACATAAAGAGCTATGATGCGTGTGTGGGTGGGGTACGATGTGGTGCACCGTACCGGTAGTAGCGGTTGGCGGGTCATTAAAATAGTAACGGAGTTAACAAAACTGGTTGACCAGCAGAAAGCACATGATACCGCTCTTGGCAATTGCAAGACAGGCAGAAACTAGACAACAGCCAAAAGTATCTGCAGAATTGGCCAAAAATGGAAGCATGGTGCTGAATTGAGTTAGCCTTGCTTAACTTTGATCCCGAAAAACTTGAAAAATATTGGCTAGCGCGGCTGAGTTAATGTTGGAAACTCTTGTATGGGAATTGCCACCCTAGGTGTCAAAACTTCAACTTGGTCGCGCGAGGACAGTGGCTAGGTAAATTAGACTTGCAAGCTAATTGCTATCATCCGGGGATACCGGTGCAGTAAGGAGTAGACTATGTTTCTACCACTTTTCTACTCGCACGGCCGAGTTGAAAGGACACTTTGTATCATATGAGAACTAGTACAGCACCAAATATTCCATCTGTACCAGCGCCTTTTGGTATCTCCCCAAGCCACCAAATTGCCCACCGTCTATTGAGAGGAAAAAAACTCCCAGCCAAAAAAACCTTTCCAGGATGGAAATGCAAGCCATTGTCCAACAACCCCATACCCAGCACCAAGATATGACGTACCCGCAAGGCAGTATACAGCACGGTAAAAGTACAGATTGGTAGATGGGGGACTCCTACGTGGCTGACAAGAAGGCCTGCAGATCCATTTCAGCCAGAATGGGGGCAAAAAAAGGGGGGTGGAAAGGACAAGCGGGAACAGAACAGAGCGGGACAGGACAGAACAGGGTAGCAAAATCCCCTTGACCCTCGTTCCGCTACCAATCTCTCTCCTTTCCTCCCCGACGGCCAATTCGGAGGCTCATCTTCACCAGATGTGGAGGGTGGACATAGATTCGATAGACATTAGTTCCATGCCGTATTGAAGTGGTCAAGTATGGGTACGGGGGGTCTCGAATTGAAGATGGTGAATTGGCGGCCGTGTAACGTTCGGCACGGAAAGGGCTGGGTACTACCGTATTCCTTGATCCGCCGATTCACTACTACTCCCAATCAGTCAGCTAGAGTAACACAGTTAGGCACTACCGGCGCACTCATACAGCACAGTAGTCTACCGAGCGCTGAGCAAGTATCTGGTACGGTATCAGGGTCAGGATACGATGAACAATTGACTTCTTTTTTTTTTTCCCCTTTCTTTTTCTTCCCTCCCCTTCCTATCTGAAAAAAGTCCCGTTTATTCTTCAGCATGTGTCGGTGGCGAGCAACTACGAGTACTCGTACTGAAACTATGATAGTCTACTAGTAAAGAAAAAGAAAAACCAAGATAACCTATTTATGACGACAACGAAAACCAAGGCTTTACTCGAGTGCCAAACTCTTTTCCTTTTGTGGGAAGAAAGACAACCAATCAAATACCGAAAGGCCGGGGAAGCTCGCTCAACAAGAACAAAGGCCTTGATCCTTAGCTCTCCGTGATAGGCTACCGTGACCGTCAGAGACAGCCTGAATCATGGCGTCAAACTCGTTTTCCTTTTCTTCCCTTTCCATCATTTTAAAAAAAGCTGAAAGAAAAACCCCCAACAATCTCACTCCAAAACAGCACTCCGATCAAGGCATAATAGAGAGATAGACGCAGTCGGTATAGACTCTCAAACGGTCCATTCGGAACGCCCCGAGCCCCGGAAATGTAGTACAGTACGAGCAGTAAAACCCACCAAGCCAGGAACCATGACTCGATACGTCTGCGACCTTATCAGATGATCCAGACATATCTCCTCTCCTTCAAGAACAGCACAAATTCGTACAATGCGGAAAATGAGGGTTCCGGTGATTTATCCGGCTGAACCTGACCAGCAAGTATCATATTGCAGGGAAGGAAGGGATATCATACCATAGCAGGAAAGTAACCCAATGCCTCAGCCCTGTAATTGACTCAGCTCAAATCAGTTTTGCTGGATCCATTTACTCTGCGATCCGTCCATGGACTGTCTGTCTGTCTGTCGGGGCTCGTGGGGAGCTCACCCGTCTTCGGATATCCGTGTCACAGCAAGGCCATCCACCCATACATTCACCCATTCATCCATTCATCCGGCCTGCAGGTCTCACCTACAATTCCACTACCGTTCGATAGGTTTATTTATTTTTTTGTTTTTTACCATGACCAGAACCGTGCACTCCCTTTCCCTATCCTTCCCTCTCTCCCTCTCCCTTCTTTGGACATGCTTCAGATTCCCCGCCTTTCCCTCCGCCTTTAGTTGGTCCGGACTGACGCACCACCCCCGAAAAAGGTACAGCGAGACAAGCTTCATGGCTTCGCACGGGCTGAATCGTCAATGATGCCATCCTTTAATTTCTTTCAACCATTTTTTTTTTATTCACCTTTGGAATTCTCGCCCGCACTTGCGAGGCCAACCGCTGGCGAGATCGGAAGGGAAAGGCTTGGCTGTGTTCGCTTTGTCGCAGGATTATCATATGTGCCAAGTCGGATGGGGGCAGTGGGACGGTAGCTGAGAGGTCATCTTGGCATAGTACCGGTATTCATCTTGTAGAGATTTAAGTCAGGTAAAGACGAGATGGGGAAGGTGTTATTTTTCGGGTATCGAAGGTTATGACACCTCTGACTAATATGTTTCGAGTATAAAGTTGGTGATATACCGGTATGATAGATACAGTAATATGATACATCTGCTGGCCCATCTATCTATCTACCTAGGGAAAAAAATTCCCCCTTCGTTTTCGAAATGGTCCTCGTATCGAAGGAGAGCGTCAGCATCCCTCTTTCCCCTTCCTCTTTCTCCCCCGACCGGATTTTTCCTGGACAAAAGCCCCGGGGGAAGTAGCTACCGGTGTGCCTTTCGCTTGTCTATTATTCCCCTCCGATTTACTAGTGCTTCACACATCCATACTAGACTATCGCAAACATTACTCAAGTATTCAGGCTTTCTTACCAACCGGAACTGCAGCGGGTGGACAAAAAGTCCTGGTAATTGGTCCTTTTGACGCCAGAAATCGGCAAAAACATCCCCCCCCTGCAATTCGTTGATTTGAAATCATTTTATCTATATAATATCCCATAACTTGAAGTAGTCTATAATACCGGTACAGTACAGTACATCAACAACCACCTGGGTGCCCCACAACCTTGCAAAGCTCCACCACCAATTTACCAAGATAGTTGCCCCAGCAACCCCTAACAACGATGTTCTGATCTTCGACGAACTATAAGACAACAGGGGAGTGTCGGGGGACTCCATAGACAGTTGGAGGATAATCTTTGGTGCGCGCATATATAACTACTTGGATGGTTCTTCCAATCACTGAGTTACCTTGCTACCCCCAGCCTACTTATCCCACCAACGCCCGTACAAAGTTCACCCGACGTTCTCCGACTTTGCCTCCAGCATATAGGAAATAGTCTAATGGACGCATTCAACCAGCCACAGCAGACGCGGCCTTTCAATACAAGTACGCACTATCGGAGAGCAAACGCTAGTAACAGTTCCACACCTCACAAACTAGCGGGAATGCCCAAAAACATAGATAATAAAATTATCCACGTTAATTTAATCGAATGGATTTTAACCAATAAAATTAAAATTGAAGCGGATTCTCCTCATACAACTTGAAAGAGAGACCTCTTACATTCAATCTCGCCAAAAAAAAAAAAAAAACCCCCACAATGAAAACATTCAACGCATATGGCCTTCAGATAGCTACCAATATAATACGTATGGAAGTCACTTCAAGTCGAGTCTGAAACGGAATAAAAATTGTGCAAGCATTATAATCCCCCCCCCCCACCCCCCAAGTAGCACGAATAGAAACACGGATCCACCAATAATGGTTAGCTCCATCATATAGGGCTGTATTGGGGGGGGGCAGCATTGGTGAACTTCGATATTTCTATATATATAAGCCACTCCTACTCATGTTTTGTCAAGGAGTGCAGAAAAACGAGAAATTTTGCATCGCGCATTTCATCGCCCCAACGTATGTATGATACGGTCCTTGCCATCCAAAAAGTGCACGAGGTATTTGCGTTTTTGAAATGATTATTGTATCATACCGCTTCACCGAGTTGAAATACTAATTCCAAAAAAAAAAAAAAACCCCACCACTCTAGATTGTTATTGGGAGTACTAAGGAGAATAATATTTTTTCTTTTAAAAGTGACTAAAAGTCGGTACCGGTGAGATATAAACGGATCGAAAAAAGTCACGTACGAGTACTGTACAGCCCAGTGCACATCCCGGATGACACGAGAGCATACCTGGCGAATGTAACGAGAGCAAGGCATACTCGCCCAGTCCTGGCGGGCACGGACTGACTCCGTTCCTCTGACGCGGATATTCTCCTCGCCCAGTGCGTGGAGGGTGCGGATATTTTAGCATGGTCGGCTACTGGCTTATCCCGAAGACGTCCTGACAGTGCTGTACATCACAGTCCGATTAATCGGGTAATCCACTCGCGGTATTATCATCATCGAGTTCAATCCACCCTTTCGTGACGAGGAATAATAGTAAGTCATAGCCAAACTAACCCGTGCACTGTGGAGGTATCGAGTGCCATAGACTCTAGTGATACCTATGATGCACCAGCTTTTGAGACCATTTCCGTGTTGTGAAGAAATTGAAAGTTCCTCAAACTTACCCCAGCAGTCCAAGTGTCATCAGCGCGAAATACCGACTTGACACTACTGTTTCTTTAGGACCCGTTCATTGCTGCTATGGAAACTGGCTAGGTTACGGCTTTAAACGAAAGCTGATAGTGCCTGGTACCGCCGGTGATATTGATTGAGTACTATGTGACTCCGTATTCTCCCCATCCACGTATGATATCATACATCGGGACAGGCAATATATCCCAACAAACCTTCCCAAGAGCCCCCATTTCCATCAAAGATCGATGGATAGAACAATAACGGAACTGCTCGTCCAAGCTTTTGACAACACCTATTGGGGCCAGAGAGGTATTGCGTGCGGTTTCCAATGTCTGGGGTGTGTCGGGAAGGAATTGAAATTGAAATATACTCCCGATCCTGTTCGGTCTGCGCGGTATGTTGAGTTGTTCAAGTACTGCGATTCATCGATATTCGTTTCGGGAGAAGTGGGTACTGTAGGAGGCCTAGTTTTCCATCATTACTTTATTCAATCCAATATATTCAGAATAGCGCAGTAGAGAGTGGAAAAATAGTCTGGTTAGGTGTAATAGGTACCGTACAGCCACTTCTCCGGGGACCTTCTTTGCCTGAGAAAATCCGGCTTGACCCCCCCCTCCACCGATGCGATGACCGTTTCGATCGCAATACGGGTCACCGTTTATCACGTACCTGTAGTATATGGGAATGCTATGTGATAGCAGCCCTTTTGGCCAGGCGGATAGAGACTGCCGTAAGCTTATAGGTTCGGGATCGACGCATGTATGTACTCGTAGGGAATATGATTTGTAACGGCGCGCTAACTCATTTCCTAATTCACAATATCCAACATGAACGCGACCTCGGAACTCCAGGGCCCCTATACATAGCGCTCCGCATGAAAACATCCATACCACATGAAGAAACAATCTAAAAGGACCTTTTTTTTTTCCCTGCCCGGGGGAATTATTATCAGGTTACACAACTTCATACAATTAAATGAAGGCAACTAGAAAGAGAATATGGAAAGAGAAAAGCGGATGTTGCCACTACATCATATATACATCCTAGAACGCCCGCTAAACGCTCCCCCCGAAGAAGGGAAAGAGAGAAAAATAGTAACTAAAGAAAACGTCTCGTCCCTTACAGCTTATTTGGTTCACTTTCCCCCCTTGCTCCCTTCATTCGAGGACGCAGCATCATAGTCCGCCTCCTGGAAAATTCCGGGAAAAGCTGCCGCGGATGGTGGTCGTGCGCTCAGCTCAGCTGGAGGGCCATCAGCGTTCACGGCCGCGGGTGCTGGCCTACGGATGGAGGACGGAGGATTGTATACCCCACTAGTAGAGGGCGGCGGGGAAGAAGGCACATGCGAGTATCCGGACGGCGATCTCGTCGAGTTGTTATCCGACATGACCGATTCAGGGGGATATGCGCCTGCAATCGAGGAGGGGCCTGGGGAAGTGTACGCTGGCGGACGGTAAAGTCCCGTGCCCGCCATGTCGGTCTTTGGGGGATCGGCTCCCGAAAAGACGTTCGTCTCGGCAGTCGCTTCTGCTCGCTGCTTGCGGCGGCGGAGGAGGCAGAATATTATTGCCCCGACTATTGCCAGAACTGCGAATCCTCCTACTGCTGAACCAACAATCACTCCGGTTGGCGTCTTTTTCTCGGCCTTTGGCGTTGTCATGTTACCAGATCCCTTGCAGCTCAGGGGCACAAGCTTTTGATCCGCCTTTGCACGATTAGTCTTTGCCAGGGCAAAGGTTTGAGGATTGGTTGAATAGTCAACGATAAGGTATGCCTGGGAAAGGAAGGGCGCGCCGAGGAAAGGCAGAAGAGGAGTAACTCCGGGTGCGTAACCGGCGGTTCCTAAGGTTGCTTGGATGGATCCTGTAATATGGTTAGACTCGATGCCTCATGAGTTCATCACTCGGTTTTTCACACCTGGTATTTTGTCCCAATGTCCATCGGCGTTAATCTGAACTGCATCATAAATCCATTCCGAGCGTGGCATGGTTACCGAAAACCCGGTGTCTAGTTCGATAGTAAAGTCACCATCAGGAAGCGTGTCCGTTAAGTTATAAAAAAAATATTCCCATGTGGCCCTCCAAAAGGTTGTGTTGCGACGACCGTTCAGCATAGTGTCGTTGAAATTTTGTTGAACTTGATAGGGCATTATCATTGACCAATACGCCGGTTCTACGCATGCCATAAATGGTTCTACTAAAATTAGCATAATCTAAGTTAAGCGTAATATAACAGCGGGGAAAAACATACCCATTCCAGCCATCAAATCGGTAGACCCCCATTTCATCTTACTAACTGTCACCTGCAAAGGGCAAGGCTTGCTCTTGTCCGCCGAAACAGTGAAGTTGTGCCAGTCTTCCGGCTTGGCCTTGGCCGCGTTGTAACCTCCAACCACTAATTCACCTGCAACATCTGCCGCTGTGAGACCGTAATCGAAAGACCAGGTGGCGGAAGGCGTGACGTTCGCGTGGACGGCCGACTTGAGAAACACGGAATCGGAGGCAAGACCAATGAAGCCAGCACTTGGGGTAACATTGCGTCAGTCGAAATCACTCGGAAATTTGGAAGAAAGTTAATCACACCCAAAGGGAAATTTCCCATCATCGATAATGGTCATGGGGTAACCTTCAACCTCAAGATTATCGCCAAAGGTGATCGTGTCCCAACCTGGATCATGTTAGCTCAGTATTAAAAAGGTAACTTGGTGAATATCAACATACCTCTCGGGAAATCAGACAACGGATCCTTGCCAGTCTCTACAGCTCATTAGTTTCGCTATCGTCTCTCATTTCTTAGGCATGGTTCCGTAGTATACATACTGGCATACAAATCCTGATGGAGATAATCCCATCCTTCATTTCTCACGGATCCGTTATATGGCTCAACACCCGTATCCTTCACCCAGGTCTTACTACTCGCAGGCTGAAAGAGTCCTCCTCTCCAAAACACGCAACCAAACTTCCCAGGCGGCTCATCCGTCGATCCATCATTCTTGCACACCTTGTCCCCGTCGGGGATGAAGGTAGAGTTGAGTGTTGTCCCCAGCTGCATGGCCAGTACTTGCTTGTTGGAACCTACGCGTTGTCAGCCAGTGGCCGCTGGGGAAATGTGATAACACATGAGTGGGATCCACATAACATACCAACCTGCCATCTGACGCTTCTATGAGCAGCCGCTCTATCGGGATAGTTCAAGATGGTAGTATTTTCCCAGGGAAGAGCGAAAGGTCGAACAGGGCCTAGGCGATACCAGTTAGTTGAGAATCTTATCATCGCCCTCTTCTCCTTCCTCTCTATCCGCCCTTTCCCTCCCTCCGCCTTCTCTCCACCAGAAAGTCATACAATCCAAGCTCTGAACGCCAGAAATCAATCCCCCTAGCAAAATCCCATATCCAATCCATCTTCCTCGCACAGTGCTTGATCCGCCTCGAGCCATGATTCGACGCCTGCCAGCGAGCGTACCGTACCAAACCGAATGAACCCGATGAAATATCGAGAAGGAATTATCCGCAACTTGGTCCAGGGAATCCTGCTCTCAAGATGTGGGGGGGGAAGCGGTAGAAGAATAGAAAGAAAGAAGGGGGGGAGGAGGGATGTGCTAACCAGCAAAACCCTTGAACGGCAATCGGCATCTTCAATGGGCCTCGACGGGTCAGCATTCAACTCTTCATTCACTGAACCAATATCTGGTATGGGGGGAGGTGTGTGGTGGAACGTGATACGGTTGAGCGAACTAAGCCCGGGTGCAAAAAAATACCGGTTACTGGACCAACTGAAGCGAGGGGCTGAGGTAGAACGCCTAACCAGCTAATCTGATTGGTGGAAATCGGCCACTTACGCACATGGAATTCGCACTGTTTATCGCGAGAGTTCCACCCTACACCGTGGCGCCCCGTTCCGGTTAGTCGGCAGCTTGCACTAGATAGCAAAAGATGCTACAAGTAGACTACCGTACTCGAATGCTACAGTGAATTGCTGACCCCGACCGGAGAGAATCTAGTAATCCACCACCAAGGCTACACTACTAAATTATACTCGAGTAAGCGGGACAGAAGAAGGACACCGGCATGTTAAAAGCCCGTCTTCCAGCTGTTCCCAAAAACTAGCCTCGAACTCCCTCCCAACACACCTCGCCACATAAAATGGACAATTGGCACCGGAGCTGGAAAGCAAAAAGGCCTTTCATCTACCGGTACGGGACGGTGCGGGGCTGAGGATTTGAGACAGACCTCCTGAGTCACAAAAGCCCCGCACGACAACATTCCCCAGCTGCCGTGAACCATTCCCGTACGAGCGCAATCCGTCAGCAACGTTTCACCGCCAGTAAGCAAATCGGGGATTCTTGCCTCCCGTATTGGTGGGGGTTAAAGACCATACATATGGTTAAGAAACAATAGAACAGGAAGATGAATTTCCGCAGGCTCCCATAAAGCTCCACAATCCCACCCACTTTTTGGAGGGAATTTTACTGCACGAGTACAAAAGGACCCCAAGAGGAAGTTGAGGGAACGGCAAATGAGTTGTCGAACCTCCCGAAGGCACCCGCACCAAACCAACGATATACCGATGCGGTGCCCAAGACATAGTTGAGGCGAATGATCAAATCGGAGGAAAGGCAGCTCTCTTGGTGGACACCTCTCGTCATCAAATACTGTATTACTTGTATACTGTACTCGAGTAACTTACTCGTAATAAGCGTTGAGGATCCAGTGACGAATCCCCCTAGACGGTAAGCCCCTTCAGCTCTCTCGATGCAGACGGAGATTGGCACCGTCAGATTCGCCGGCTTTGAAGAAGCAAATACTGCACTTATGCCTCCTGTCAAGCCAGAGAGATCTTGCAGACGGAACCCGGTCTGGTACTGTACTAGTACTGTAGCCTCGAGTGACTAGTCGAGATGGGGTATCTGTGTGGCTTGCTCCCAGGCCCAGCCCCTCAACGGCGAACCAAGAATAGCAAATGCTGAAGCGCAGGTGCCGGCACAGTTGTTAGCACTGGTTGACAAGTTGACATGATCCATGCCAAAGATTCCAAAGCCAACAGGGGTTCGACACCGGTAGCTTGACGATGTTTAAAGTACTCGTACTCAAGCACTGTAAACTCTTTGTTCGAACCGAGTTTGGTTCCTGTTCCACCACACAGGCGCTTAAAACTCTTTTTTTTTTTTTTTTTTTCTTCTCCCCAGCTCTCCTGCAAAACAAGCTCGTTAGGGTAGCCCCCACGTCGGTTAGAGTGCTGATTATCATGCCACGACATCCAGCATGCAGGTTGATAATGCTGTGAGAGGATTATCCAATGTCCGCTGAGTGCCGCTGGCGGTATCACTTAAGACCCATCTGTGGTGTATAATACAGCACCCTCCAGTTTTTCTGAGTACTGAGTACTGGTACCGGTATCCGTGCACCTAAATGCCAGGATCATACCGAAAACATTTGCCCTTGGCGCCAAAAGTGCCTAGGTGGCTTGGAAATTGGCGAGAAAGCAATGGGGCTGTTTGTTGGAGACCAAGAACACAGGTCGCTGAAAAAAAAAGATCAGATTGAGCCAGGGGCACCGTTGCAGCACAAATTTGTGTCCAGAATTTGGTTCGACGCCTTTCCATGTAAATCTCACCATATCGTCAATTAAAGTTAGGAGGAAACCAGGGACGGAGATGAGGCCCCAGGAACAGCCATCATGCAGAATGCTCGAGCTCCTTTCTCACACCGGGGAATACAGTTTCTGTTTCGTCTGGACCACCGGTAGCGAGGGTTCTTCGGAGACGACAAACAGGGGGAATTGCTGACCCGAATACCGTCTTGGCGCTAACAGTGTGGAATACCCGAGTATCATACAAGCACAGGTACTCGTACTCGTACAATACAATAACACCAACTTGCAGGACGCATCGAGCTCGAGATAAATTTACCCTCTTGGCTACCAGCTGCAGGTACTGTACTCGAGTACTGCGCCTTGTTCCCTCTTCAACCGAGGCACGACGAAAAGCAAGCGGGCGAAGAACAAGCGGGTGAAGAACAGGAATCAGTGATGGCAATTTTCTTTGTTGCCCTACAGTACCGGGACTTGCACTGTACCGGTACTGCACTTTGACGAATTCACTTTTTTTGCCCACCAAATACCCTTGGTCGTCATCCCCCGGCTCTCGCCGTGCCAAGGCGGTAAGTAGGAGTACTAGTACCGGTAAGTGCACGGCAGGATTAGCCCCCATATCATATCATTTTCTGTACCCCTGGAGAAAGAACTTGGAAGATTTGTGCCTGATGCATGCAGTTGAAGTGCTCAAGTACTGCGACTTTCATTTGCCGACACGCAAGCATCCATGATAGGCACAGTACTCGTACTTGTTTGTACTTGTACAAGTACTCATACTGTAAATATAGCCTCAACGCCACACCCAATGATTCCCCACTACGGTAGGCTATCTACAGGACCTGATTATCAAAGACCCTTACAATCTGCGGTATACTCCGGTGTAGAGGTTAGTGATGGGACAGACAGGGGTACTGGTGGCCGAGGACATGCACATGTCTTGGGCCACCCACACCTCTGTCCGTCTTATCACTAACCTCCATGCCCCAGTACTCATGCTCGAATACCGGTACATGCCCAACGGTTTCCTGATTCCCGCTCATCTAATCAGTGGATGCCCAGCCTTACATTTTTTTTTTTTACCCGAGTAGAGGAGGAGGAAGGGAGACCTCAACATCGCCTCGTACTCGGGTTTACGGAAAGAGGGAATGGGAGGAATGGCTCCACTGAAGCGTTTCCCTTCCTGTATTACATCACATAAGATGGAAATTTTCGGTCAGGTTGGAAATTTTTTCCTCTTACAAGAGGCTCGGTTTTGGGATTCTTAAATTGTTTTTCCATGATGGATATTAAAGGGGCTTTTAGGCCATACTTTAAGGTGCTTGCCGAAACCCAACCTCTTTCTCCTAACGTACGTACCACCTAACTAAAGGTATCGATGTACAGCCGCATTCGTAAAGTTCTCGTACTCTCCCTTGTACTTCAGGAACTGTGCTGACTGAACTGTTCTTAGATATGCCTCCAGGGACACTGTAAATTTTGAAGACAATTTATTTCGCCGAATAATAAGAGAGAGGGTTAGCAGAGCGTTTCCAAAGACAGGTGAGGGGTACTATACTTGGAAGTTGGAAGTGTACGAGAACTTTACGAATGTGGCTGTACTACGGTATTACAGCATGCCACCTCTTGCTGTTGCCTGAGGGTTCCCTTCGCTAGGCCCCGCTCTCACTAGCAAGCCCCGGACACCGAGGACCAGGGGGGCTACAATGATGCTCCATATCCCCAGAGATGTACAATACTTGTACTCGAGTACGGTACGGTATGGTAGTCAGTAAAGAAAAAAGAATACCATAAAACTCTCGGACCCCCATCCCCCCTGCGAGCCATGACATGATCTTGATTGCCGGTATTCTACACGTACAACAAAACTTTGACTTAAACTCAGGGGGAATGCTTGTTGGCAGAGTGCATTATGTGATACTCCCTAAAGGTACGAGATCATAAATTTGTCTAGCTGTGCCTATCTGGCGCCCCGCCATTGTCTCCCTTGGATTTTTTCTTCTTCTCGAATCTCTTACCACCAATCTGTATGTGAGATGGGGGGAGGACGAAGTTTTGGAACGAGGAATGAGGTTTTCTCCTCGAAGAGTGAAGAATCAGTCGTATTCTCCCCCTCAGCGAATCGAAGGCTCAATGAGTGTTTGCGATGGCGGTTCATCCGGCTCCTTCGTAAAAGGAAAGCTTAAGGATCCGATTTATTGCTCATCAAGAAAGCCCAAATGCTGGAATTCTCCCGGCTTAATACAGGATGCTCATTCTTCTTCCGTAGAAAGAACATTTCATGTAACTAAAGTTACTTGCATCGAAATACAGGGAGATTGACGCGAGGATAATCGTACTCGAGTACTATCATAGGACCCCGCAACCTGCTAGCCTTTGCTAACATGTGGCGAACGCTTCTCTATTTCTCCCGCCTGGCGGGAAATACCGTACATATCCTCGCAGTACCCCCTCCCCCCCCCACTTTGCAACCGAACCTGTCGAGCAAAACACCCCAAGAGGCATTGGGCGCTACGGATTGTGGGGTCATGAATCGCGAGTTGTAGCTTGATCTGTTGGGAACATATTCCATTGACAATAGCTCCAGGTCGAGTGAGGGTTGGTGACTGCAGACTGGGGATGTACTGTACAGTACTGGTGCTAAGCGCGGTAAATGCATCGTGGCGTAATTTAAGGAGATTGATCATACTTGTAATCGCTACCGGTAGCCTTTATGTTCCAGATAACTTCGGCGATAATGGTATGAGTATCATCTGAATTAGGAAGCTGCTACTACAAGACCGAATCATCAAGATAGTTATGCTTTGGGGTTAGGGGGCGTTTACGAGTAGCACAACGTGGCTTAACTTATAAGCTTTGGAGTGTTTTACCAGAGCGCGCTTTGTAACTTAACGTATGGATAAGGTAGAGAGAGTCTGGCAACCATATAAAACCGCGGTTCGGAAAAATACAGTATCGTATCACAGAGTTCAAGAAAACCATTGAACCTGCTTTTTCCTATCATACATATATCATATTCCCCCCA